GGGGGGTGGGGGGGGGGGGGGGGGGGGGGGGGGGGGGGGGGGGGGGGTCTCAATTTAAAGTCAAAATTTACATTGAAAAGAGAGCTTTTTTTTCGCCGACTCTGTTTGACTAATTTTGTAATGCAACCCCTGCAATTGCAGTACATGAAACTGAAGCCATCCTTGAAGGTTTACAAAGGTGCCCAGCCAAAGTGTTTGATGCTGCCTGAGTTGCACTTGGCTACTAATCCTGGAACTGCCTCTTCCAATTCGACTTCATCTGAATCTGATGCTTGAATATAGTGATTTCTCACCTATATGGGGGATGCATACAGTTTGGTTTGTCAAGAGATACATGTCTTTTTTTTTTTAATGGTCTCTTTTTGTTTGGAGGATCTCTGATGTATCTGTTCACAAGTGGAGGGTGGCTTTTGGAATTTTGAAGGTGCAGAGAAGAGAAATAAGTTAGTCTGCTGCTGTCCTGCTGGCTCAAAAGAAAGCTAAGGTAGCGTTTTATAAGTAGAAGTTAGGAAAATGTTAGTCTGCAGTGGATGATGCTGGGCAAATTGCTTCTTTTTGGAAATTTTTTTTGTGCTTTTCCTTTCCAGTGCTCATTTGAAAAGGAAAGAGAAGGTTTTAAGTTGTTTTGGTCAATTTTACGGGGAAGAAGGAAAATTGCAAAGTTCATTATAGAATTTTCTTTTCAGCCAAAATCTCATAATCGCATAGCTCATGTTGATATCATCCTAGCTATTATTATATTTTCTTTACTTTTTGTCTATGTTTCTTTTTTGTCATATTGATATTGTCAATTGCAATCCGCTCAGTTCTCAAGGTAGTTTTAATGGATGTAGACATGTAGTAAATGGTAATGACCTGGGTAGGGAAGATGCTATTTTAGGGTATTTACTGCATGCATGCATCATTTCTGTGTTGCTCTGACTGGTAGCTCTGTTGTTGGAGCATGTATTCCCCCCCTCGGGTTTTCTTTGAGTTGTAGTAGGTAGAAAATGGCTTGTTGAATCGGTACTAGTCAAAGTTCAGCAGGTAATGAATGATGTTGATTCTTTTGGAAGAAAATAATTCCACGAGCTTAGATGATTGACACACCTAAATTGAGTGAAGATATTGGGGTGCACAAACATTATTGTCTTCTTAGTTTCTTCAATTCGCCAGGTAGTTCTGGCTTTGGGTGTGGCTATCAAAGTTTACGTTTGGGCCTATATTTCAACAACATATTTGTTCAACCATAAAGTGTTCAAAAGCCGTTGATCTAAGTTATTTAGGTTAGTCTTAAAAAGCCCACTATTGGAGTTGTAGGTATGCATTTAATGGTGACTAATTTTCATCTGCTATTTAAGCCTTGTCCAGTTATCGTCTTTAGTGACAAAACTAACTTCACGAGTACGATTAGCTTTCACTTGAGTTTTTGAGTTTTTTTTTTTTTTTGTTTTGGAAATTTGTGTTTGTATTTTTGAATTTTCTTGAGTTCAATGATTCACCTTCAGTGATACAAATTTTGAGTTCAATAACTTTAATGAATGCTCTTTCCAACTTAATTGACTAGTCAAGTTGAGTTTGAAAAAAATTCATTCAAGGATATTATTCCTACAGAATTCAACTACTATTGTAGACAATGTGTTTGATAATTAAGTAGTAACTTGCATCATCACCAAGAATTTGTTGTGGGATGATCCCTCCATCTCTAATTAGAGGTTTCGGGTTTATGTTCTTATTTTTGACAGTGATAAATTTCTCCTTAAGTGGGATTTACCTGACGGGAATCCATGGCTTCCACTGCGGGAACTAGATGAAAAAAAAAGTCACTTGAATAGACAAAAGTGTTTGATAATATATACTCCCTCTGTCCCAATTTATATGACTTACTTTCCTTTTTAGTCAGTCCCAAAAAGAATGACACATTTCTATTTTAAGTAACAATTTGCCTATAAAATGTCTTTTTTACCCTTAATGAAATGATTTACAACCACACAAATTTCTATCATTCATTTTGGACCACAAGTTTTAAAAGTCTTTCCATTTTTCTTAAAGTTTGTGCCAAATCAAAGTACATCATATAAAATGGGACGGAGGGAGTAATAATTAAGAACTTTTAGAGTGTTACACTAATCTCAATTCATAATATGTTACAATAATTAAGAACTTTAGTATGTTTTAGGGCCCAAAATTAATTTGTTACTTTGGCTCAAGACTCTATTATTCTCACATGCAGTTAGTTTTATAAAGAAAAGGCCACTATGGATGGAATTAGGAAAACATTTTAAAGCCAATTTCACCTAATTGATACTATGAAAATTGTCTATTTTGACTTTAGACATGTTTACCTTGATTCAAACGAAGAGGACTACCATCATATTTTGTTCAAGGATGTTATAGACATTGGTGAATCTCCCATGAAGATATTGAATGGACTGCCAACTTTAGTTTAAACTTTTATGGCATCTTTTTTTAAGTGGCAAATCATATGTAGATTGATAAGTGGTATTGGTGTAGTTGTTTCCCCCGGCCAATTGATAAATTGAGCTCGAGTTGGGTGTATCTCTCTCGAAAGGGCTACAAGTGTTAATGATCCTTCTACACGACAATTTCGTCTTTCTCGACATGTTATCTTTATCGAACTTACTACAAAGCTTGGGGTGTTTAGATTACCTGTGATCAAGGGTGGCGCTACCCTTGTTGAGGAGTGTTAAGCAACACTTCTCCGTTGAAAATTACATTGTATAAATAGGTAAAATTTTGATTTTATACTTATATATATTAATGTTGACATCTTTTGGCACAACGTGAAGAATTAGATCAATGGTTGGGTGCTGCAAAAGCTTTCAATCGTTGGTAGGTCAGCTGTCCGAACTACTTTATATTTTGACACATTTCAACAAAAATTCTGGCTGCCATTGCTTGTAATGGTGGGCTATTAGTTCCCTTGTCACCCCTTAGAGGAGAGCGGTGAAACTATCGAGAAATTTATGTGAGACAATACTAGAAATCTTCGATCTAATAGAATCAACAAGATTTGGGTAATCAAAGTGATCAACTTAGGGGAAGTTTCACAATCATATGTAGATTGATCAGTGGTGTTGGTGTAGTTGTTGCTCTTGACCAATCTACATTCTCCAAGTCAAAGGGGAATATGGTCAAAGTAGTTGTTTCACTATGAATTTTTTTTACTCTATTCATAAAAAATTGTTTGACTATAAATTTTTGAAGTTGTATTAGAAATTTTGAAAATAATTCAATAATATGTTTTCCCTTTTTAACCATTACTTTGTTTTTAATTATTGTCCAACTTTTTTATTTTACGAAAAAATCCTATTTATTTCAGCTATTATTACATTATTAATTCAATATTTACTTAATAATCCTATGATGTTGGCGTTGTTTAAGCTTTTGCATTTCCTTTATCAATTTTTGAAAGAGATGCTTATTTTTTCATGTTAGTCATCAAAGTTGATCCCTAAAAAAAAAAAAAGAAGTTATCAAAGTTGAACTTGGTTTCATTTGACATATATGGTAGCCATTTAATGAAATTTGCTGTTTGATTTTAGCTTATAGCAAAATGATTCGTGGTGTGGGTGCTCGTTTAGCTTCTGGCAAAATAATTTAATTTTGGATAGGAGTAATAGATTTGACCTGTATTTCCTCTTCTCTATTTGTTCATCTTTCTGATGGTGAAAGAAGGAATTATGAATAGACTTGAGCCCTCATTGTCCAGGCACAACGACATAATTATTAAGGGCATGCTCTACTACTGAACTAATAGCCTGAACGATTGTCGACCACCAGATCCTCTAGTCTGCAATATTCACCCTGGCATAGGGGTGTTTAAAATCGAATCGTAACTGATAAGCCAACCGTAAAATTGTCTTATTGGCTTATTGGTATTGGATTATCGAATAAACGGTTGGTGAACGAATTAGAATTTTACAATTAACGGCTTATTGTTGTGGAGGCGGATTATTTTATTTCCTTATCGGATAAACTGATAACCCGTTAAGAGTTACCATATATACTTACAATTTTAACTTAGGTATATCAACATCATTTATTATTTTTCCGTAATATATAATTATATATTGTTAGTCTTAAAGTCTTAAAGCCAAAAATTTGAATACCTATTTACTTTTCATTATTAACTATTACATTACTATAATCTATATATTTTTTGTAATATAGAAGAATTTTATAGTTTAATTGCACTTAAAAGTAATCTTTTTAAAAGGTATAGTCATGGAGAAAAATGGTAGAGATTGGTCGATACACCATCTGATAACCGTCCGATAAGTGCTAATCCGTTATCAAACCAACTAATATCTAATAGTTTGGATAGCAGATAAGTAAATTTAAAACCCAATTTCCAATAGGCCAAACTGTTAATCAAAATTATCCGTCTGATCCATCCGGCCGAATGATTCCCTTAGTTTTAAGAAATTGGTGGTTTAAATCATATTTTAAAATAAAGTTTTTTTTTTAAAAAATTCATCTTCATTGGCTTGTACTTTTAGTTGTGCATTGAGTAAAGTGAATTACAGGGTATTATAGTCATTTTCCCTTGTGGATATATAGTCATCATGACCTTTACCTAAAATCAGAATCAAACACCATTTCTCCATTTTCACATCTGATTTTCCCCATCATCAATGTAGCAACTCAAACCCTAGCTCAATCAATCGTACAATCCAATCCATGGCATCTTCTTCTTTTGCCAGTATTTCACAAGTTCCTCCATGTAAATACGATCTGGATCTATCAAAAATGGCCAATCTAAAAGGCTTTGACATACTCAATCGGTGAGTTTAAAAAATTCTGTAACTGGTATAATATATCGATTTGTTTGTTGAAACTTGAGAACAGTTTGAAATGAGTTCATTAAACAGAATCGGCACTAAATCATCTAAGAATAGAGAGATTAAACATGTGTCTTATCAATTGGAAGTTATGCTTTCATTCATTTAATTCGATTTTATCCTTTTATCATATTGATGTGATTAGACTTTTGTCTGATTTATGGATGCCAATTATAGGAAAGTAGTTCTAAATCTTGTTAACAATCTTGTTGGTTTTGTTGTAGGGTTGAATCAGGGAGCATTAAGTGGATTGTTGGCCAAATGTCTTCATTATGTAAGCTTCTCTTATCATCTTCCCGAGATGTTGGGGGTATAAATGTTGATTTACCGCAAGTGAAATCCTTGCTATGGATGAGTATTAATGATATTCAAATTGTTGGTATTTGGGGTATGGAAGGAGTTGGAAAGATAATTATTTTTGTTTTCTGGCGGATGTTAAAGAATGCAAAAACAGAATGCGTTCTTCGCGAGGAATCCTAGTTGGTTTGGTAATGACAGCAGAATTACTGCAACAACTAGAGACAAACATTTGATAGTGAAAAGTGTCGTAGTATATGAAGTGACTACACTTAGATTAAAAAACATTTTGAGTGTAGTCATGGATGATTTGATAAGAGTTCAAATGTGAAATCTCAATAGTAGAGGAGGAGAAGCTTCAATCAGAGCGAAACGTAGGTTTGTTTCTTGGAGCATGTGTATCCTCTTGATATTGATTGGTTGGTTTGGTAATGGCAGTAGAATTATTGCAACAACTAGAGCCAAACGTTTGATAGGGAAGAATGTCGTAGTATAGAGTGAAACATAGGTTTGTTTCTTGGAGCATTTGTATCCTCTCGAGGTTGAGTGGTTGGTTTGGTAATAGCAGTAGAATTATTGCAACAATTAGAGGTAAGCGTTTGATAGGGAAGAATGTCGTAGTATATGAAGTGACCATACTTAGATTAAAAAATGCTATGTATGTAGCCATGGATTTTTTTATAAGAGTTCAAATGTGAAATCTCGCCATTAGAGGAGGAGAAACTCTAATGAGAGCAAAAACTAGGTTTTCTGGGAGCAGTTATATCCTCTCAAGCCTGAGTTACATTTGCTCCCTAAATTGATTTGGAAATCATAGAAAGAATAATGCGATCAATTTTGGACTGCGTTCATGGTTTGGAAGCCCGGTGTAACAAATATGGTGCCAGAGAATCGATTGCTCACAAAGATTGACCATGAAGTTATTCTATCGCTCAATCAATATGCTTTCAAAAAGAAATTCTAGTTAAGAGTTTTGAGAAACTCCCATGGGAAACAGTAAATCATGCTAAAGACCTTCCTTTTAGCCTTGAAAGTGTGGGTTTCTTTCGTGCATAGGAAAGGTGTAGCTACACAATGTAGTGCTAAAGAGAGAATGAAGAAAAACTTGGGATAAGAAATTGTTGGACAACTCAAAATAAGCTATGGAGTGGAGTCCATAGAGCAAGAGGTATTTCTAGATATAGTATATTTCTTTCGAGGGTATGATGAATATTACATCATAAAAAATTAAAATCCTTGTGAGTTCTGGATTTGAATTTGCTATTGGATTGAGTGTCCTAATTGAAAATTTTCGTGGTTGTTTTTCTTGTGTTCATCTCAATGGAATATACAATTGAAATGCATGAAAAGTCTCGTTTCCTTCTCCGGAGAATATACAATTGAAATGCATGATTTGATACAAGATATGGGTAGATATGTAGTTACTATGAAAATGATCTTGGAGAATGGAGAACATCGGAGATCATGGTGCAGTGATGATCAACAATACAAGTAAGTAAGCTAAACAATGCAATATTACTTAGTTCTTTAACAATCCAAGGGCCTATTGAATAAATGGAAATCATTTTTTCTTCTAATATCCTGCTCTTGCAATGAATCATTTTGGTTTTACTATAATAGTAGCAGAAGCAAAAAAATGTACTTTCGAAAACAAAAATATGGAATAAATTGCTTAGCAAACAAAGTTTCATTTACTTGCAACATTTTTCTTTGAAACGACCTAACCTGAACGGTACCTTAAATTTGACAGTGGTGCTCCCCAAGAAACTGCTAGTGCAATAACACAAACACCTGCATGAGGGCATTTGACTTGTAATATATTTTTGTGCTACTTTCCATTTGCTACTCAAAATAAAAAATGTTTAAACTTGATCTAATGGAGTAAATATAACTAAAGAAAGTTAAAACGAATTTGGCATTGCAAGGAGAGGAAGCTATTCATATTTGCAGAGGGATCTTTATTGTGCATTTGAAATTATACTTTGTAGACTAATTAATGATCTTTTAACCAGGTGACTAAAGCAGTAGAGGCAATCTGGATTCATTATCCTCCAAACCTACGTTTTAACAAAGAGGCCATGAAAATATGAGAAGACAATAGTATATTATTACGCATAGATATGTGAGGAATGTTTGATCCTTGATGGCTTCATGGATATTATGAGTTGCCATGATTGCTATATTGATTATTTGTCCAACAACTTGTGTTGGTTTGTCCAGGATGGCTATTCTTCGGTATCACTTCTATCTAGTTTGAACCAAAAGACTTGTTCGTCTTTGATTCACACGGAGTTAACAACATCAATTATGAAGAGGAATAAAGGTACTGAGAATTCCAGCCATTTGTTGTTGCATTGTCCAGTAGAGTGTTTTCCTTTCATTAATTGTAGCCATTGGGAAGTAAAGAAAAATCCAACAATCTAAGAAGACCAGATTCAATAGCACTTCCTACATACATTTATTTTTGCATTTCCTAACATCTTGAGCTCGGCTATCTAGGCAGACCCTTTCGAGCTGAATCGAAGATACTTTGTGGGGCTGCAACGCCTGTCGTTATCTACACGAGGTTTCTTATGAATCTGCTTTCCGGTGTAAATGCAGTGATTTTAATTACTGATAGATAAGAACCAAAGATTAGGCGTCTTATGAAAACTATGTAAATCACATTCTGGATTTTTATCGTTTTTCGCAAGTTTTATGCATGAACCAAATACGTTCTTTCTGTGACTTCATACATCCACTGTATGCCGCAAATCAATAGAATCCTTGTTGTTGATTATGCAATGGAAATAAAAACGAACTGATGGTTGTAATTCATTGGTAATACTTGGTGAAATTATACAAAATGTGAAGAAGATTGGATGTTGGTTTGGAAGTCAAAATACAGAGCTGAAGTCGACAGGGAAAATCATCACTGCAATAATGTATATTACATGTATATAATATGTATATCAAACACGAATTTTCATTGATATACCTGATATATAGGAGTGTGTATCGGTCGGTTCGGTTTTAAGTATTATCGGTTTTTGGTTTTTAAATATGCTAAACTGATAACTAAACCAAATAAGATATTAGCTATCAGTTTTTGGTATGTAATGGTTCGATTTTCGATTTAACCAATAAGAAAATGCTTTCAAAACAAATATATTTTTGACTTGTCCAACAATTTGATATGAAATAAAAAAGAGAGAAATCAAATTACTCATTGAGTGCAAAAATTCTGCTTAGTGTAGTAAAAATATAGCAAATATTCACAATTTACAATCCTAGTTGTCGCCTAACCCTTACCTTCGTCATTGCAAACCCTAACATATGCAAATAGATGTAAACAGTATGTTTATTCTAATGGGCCAAACATGAGCTAAGGATATTAGACATATTAGCGCTGAGCCCAAATGCAGAGCTTACTAGAAAAATTCATATAGGTAAATGCTAATGTACTCTAATCTTCTTTTAGTTGAAAAACTGAAGGTCAACGCTTGGAGATAGCAGCAGACTCACTCGAGATAATTAACTTTTTTTAACGCATACTCACACAAATATTTTAAATGAATGCGAGTTGATTAATCAGGTATGAGCCTCGAAAAAATAAGATGGCAGACCTGCTAGCTAAAGAATGCCAGAAGATAAAATTGGACTAGGTTTTTGAGGAATGGAAAGTTCCATCTATGTTTGTTTGGAAGATACTAGAAGCAGAAAAAGTAGGAATTCTTCTTTCTAAGGCCTAATAAGCCTCAATGTAAATTTAATTGTAACCTCATTATGTTCTTGAACAATCGTGCGTTAGTAATACAACCATCTTTGTTTGTATCGATGTATAATAGTACGATATAATACCTCCTCTTTCAGCCAAACTAAAAATTATGTACCCTAATTTACTACTTTTATGAATTATGATACTTATATTTTTCTTATGCTATCACTATTACTAGTAAAATTAGCATGTGAATTTTCATATCCAATAATTACACTATATATCATATAAAAACATAACGATAAGAAAGTATAGATTCCAATGCCAGGTTAATTCTTTACTATATTAGTTGTCACATCTCTTTGATGTAATTGGTTAAAATAAAAATGTGAATACGTAATAATAAAAACCATATATGTAACTTTATCCATTATTCTTCTTTTCTGAATTTAAATTTGGACTCCATAACGCTACAACTTACAGGATTAAAACAAGAGCTTTCTTAGTTGACATTTTAATTACAATTTGATCAAATTATACTCTAAAGAAGAAAAAAAAATGCTCTTGGAAATCATTCATGTGCCCTCCAAATAAGTGATTCATTATTTACTTGTGTAATTAGGATGGATATATATATATATATATATACATAGACACTTCCTCCTCCGTTCATTTTTACTTTTTCATGTTTAACTTGACATAATATTTCTTAAGATAGCAGAAATATAAACTGATAAATTACTTCTTAATTTTTCAAACTAAACATTCCTAATTTATATAATGAACAAGTAAAAATGAACAGATAAAATACTATTCTTAATACTCGCCAAATAATGAGTACATATTAACTCATGCTTCCCACGAATTAAATAAGGAAAATTTCCTCAGAGTCATGACCTACTACTATGATCTATTAATTTTAATTTAAGGAATAGAGTTGATCAAGTTATTTCTAAAGAAAAAAAAAAGGACTGTGGATCGGACTTCTTCAAAAATATAAATAAATATTTATAAGAAAATGACAGCACAAATAAATTTGTCATTGTCCTAAAGACAGCTTTGCATACATTATGTTCCAAAGACATTGTAAAAAATTTAATAAATATTTGAGTATTAATATTAATACAACCACCCAATGTTTAGGGATGAGGCCCCCTTTCCCAAACTCTATGGACAATTAAATTTATTCTTTACTCTTTAAGTTTTGTAGGGATGGTGATGCGGAGGGACGAGAATAGAGGATATTTTATTATTAATATTTTTACAAAAATTAATTAGTCGGCGTTTCATGATAAATTTCAAATATTTTTCACTCTATTTGAAATTTATAGAGTTTGAATTAAAGATAGAGTTATGTTTAGAATAATATTTTGTCGAAACTTTCGACAGAGGTCGTCTCGATAAAAGTAAGTCCCATACCCAAGCTCTGTTTTAAGTCAAAATACACAAAATAGCTCGAAATGAGCTCGGAAGTGTTCGGCCCGCACTAAAGGTCCTTCAAGATCAAACTTGACGTTTCAAAGTTAAGAGAACCGTCATAATTGCATTCTTTAGGCTGTTTACCTGAAGTTTTGATCAAAGTCTATCGTTCAAATTTCAAAAGCTCCAAAACATGAAAACTCGCATAAAATCAAAAGAATGACTAGGAGATCGAACGGTCAGTCCCAACAAGTCATATATAAATGACTTGAAATCGCTAAAGAAACGCTCTAAACGCCGAAAATAACGCAATACAAGAAAAATGACCTAAAGAATTATTACATATGATACTTAAATACAACTTCAAAAATGAAAAATCAGTCGAAAAATAAATTACTATAATTTATTTTCTGAATTTCGAAATACAACTTAAAGTTGAATTTGAAAATACCATGACCAAACATTATTTTTTAAATTAAATAGATTATTTCGGAAAAAAGTGAATATTTTTTATGGACAAATGGTCTTTAATGAAAATACCTACTTGCAATTATTCAATTAATACAATATAAAATATCTATTTAGTCAATTTGGTGAATCATTAATGCACTAGTGATGTTGGATTAGAAGAGTCAAATTTTTGTACGGCAATCATGTTTATTTCAGCCGTTAAATTTGTATTACATATATTTATTTAACAATAATCTAACGAATGAGAGAGTTTTGGATGGAATCTTTTAATTAAATAGGGTTTTATAAAATGCAAATATATTATTTATGTACTGTACTATATATTTGGGAGCTGATGTCAGGTCAAATATTAACAAAAATATTTAGATGAGCTGTTAACAAAAAAAAAAATTTCGTATTAAATCTTGGAATTTTCTTTCAATGATGGAAGAAAAATCTACACGAAAATGAAGCAATTAGTTTTCAATTGGAGGAGACATTGTCCCAATTAAATTGTGAAAGGCCAAAATATCTAGAGTGGATCTCAGAATTTTATTGTGATAAATAAATTTGACATTAATTAATTTTTGAGCTTTAGTAATAAAATTTCATCTCTCTTATAAAATTATTGATGAAAAATTAAATCTAGATTTGGATTATCTTTTGGACATATATTGTCTATAATGGTTCAATGGATATATTTTAAGGCAATTATTAGCGATAATTATGTTTTCTTAGCATTTTTTTAAAAAATGTCTCTAAAGTTTATAGTGATATTATAGTGATATTCAATTTAATGAAAAATAAATAATAACGAAAAATAATTTTAGCATTCTTTGTTAATATGCATTTTTATTACTGCTAAAAACTATTTTGTCACTGTGAATTAAATTATTTCAGGATTGTTATTTCATGGATAAGAAAACGAAAACGAAGAAGAGAAAATGATGATGATAAATATGTGTAACACGTGTGTGTTGATTGTTGATTTGTTCATTGTTGAAATAACTAATAATTATAGCATGACATAAATTAAACAATTGAAGAATCTTTGGACCAACTCCTTGGATCTCTGAAAGTGAAATGTGTAGCTATTTATTTTAATTTTTATAATATACTATCCTATATTCTATGAAAAAGGTGCACATATATAGGAAAAAACGAATCTTGTCGGTTGGCAATTGTAAATATTAAAACATATTTTGGAGGTTTGGACTTTAGATTAGTTTAATTTTAATTATAAAATTTAAATTTAGAGAGTTGAAAC